ATCTGCAATAAAACTGTAATTAAGTTACTAACATAAAATCATAAAGGACAATCAAAAGTAATACAAAACAAACTTACGAATTAACGTTAATCTCAAAAACTAAATAATTTAAAGGTGCACAACTGCAATTTGAAGAAGGAGGACTGGAGTGAAGATTTTGAATTCTATGGAGCAGGCTTTTATAGGCAAATTTTACACTGCAAATCGCCGGGGGGGGGGGGGGAGCGGTTTTAGTCTGCCATGCAACCCACCTCCTGCATGCCGACATGTCGGATGTCGGGTGACCAGACACCAACCGCCGCTGGGGGCAGCAGTTTACGTGGCACAAACCGCCTATGGGGGAAGCGGTTTATGTGTCCACATGGTAAACCGCTTCTCTGTGGAGCATTTTACCATGCCGACATATAACCGCTCCCTGAGGAAGCGTTTTGTGGTAGGGCAGCCATAAAAATCGTACCTTCGACGAGCAGTTTTACCTGAAAAGGAAAACCGCCTGTTGACCAGGCGTTTCTAAGGTAAACTGCGGCCTGGTGGTGCGGTTTATATATTAACCGCCCCTTAGAGGCGCGGTTTTTAATAAACGGTGGTATTTTTGGAAATTGTTGGGAATGGGTGGTATTTGTGTAACTTTTTTTTTAACAGTGGTAGTTTTGGATTTTTTCCAAGAAACTCTTACCTAAGGGGTCTTGGGTCGGGTTTTGGATATTGGGCACCTGCTATTATTTGTAACAATTATGATCGATAGAAAGGGAATTATGAATTCGGAATAGAAACTAGGGTTTTGAAAAGAAAATTAGAGGTTAGGAGAAGAAATTGGGGATTTGGGAAAGAACCGCCAAAGCCTTTGGGAAGATAGATAGAAGAGATTGAGAGAAAGAAAGATTAGGGTTTAGGATATTTTTATTAATATACTTCTCGATTGATTCCAAATGAAACCCAAAGTACATATTTATAGGAATGTTGTAGAAACTCTAATAAAACCCCTAAGCGACTAAAAGACTAGTCACCAGAATAATAATTATCCTACTATTAATAATAAGAGAAATCATAATTAATAATAAGAGAAACCATAATGAGCAGGTTTCTAATAGGGTGTCCCTATGTGGTCCAAGCAAGCTCTATACAAAAGGCTTGCAAGCCTCTTGTAGATGAAATTACATCACACCGTCCAGGGGTGGAAGGTAAAGACTTTCAGCTATAGTCGAATGGAGGAAGAATAATAATTATGTCAATTTTGACCAAGAATTACTTGGCCTAGTGATAATACAACTAGTCTAGAACTTGGAGGTCCCAGGTTCAAATCCGTTAAGTAGTACGTTAATCACAAAAAATAAACATATATCACCCTTTACCGATTTTTCATAGAAGAGAAATGAGAGTGTCGGTAGTTCTGTTATTCAAGTCCAATTCCTTTTGGACATGCGGATGAATTATTGTGCTGTTCTAACATGTTTCACGACCACAACAAGCGACGGGAAATGCATGTGTTGAATGTATCTAAGAAATGTTTTTATTCGTCTCTTAAATCGTGGGAAATGACGTATTCTAGTAATGAAGACAATAAATCTTTCGCCATCATAATCACCATATAATCTACCTACCTACCTACCTCCGTGTAATTGTCAAACTTTCACTTTGATGGCCCAGAAGCAGAAACAACAATAATTGTGACTAGTTGTTTGTAGTACTAATTAACTAGTGGAATAATAATCAAATGGAATTGTACAACCTCTCAGCTGCCTCATAGAGCCGACGGCTGCTGCGCTACAAGAAGGCATAAAGTATCGGGAAAAGCTCAGAGGCATGTTTCGGATTTTTTCTTATGCTTATCTCCTCTTTCTTAGTTAAAAAGAAAGCAACAAAACATGAATTGCAGATTATGGCTGCTGCGTCCAACTCCAACCGCACTATAATCTCTTTTATTTGCTTACAGTTGCAATCGCATTTGAGTAGATCAACTATTGATGTCATGGGCAACTAGCAGGCAGGAAACCCGAAACCAGATCAGTTCAAACAAGTTAGATTGAAATTGTAAACTCACTCACAAGTGAGAACTTACTATTTAATGACCCCAAGTCAAACCTAGCAGGCTAGCACCACCTCATAGGAACTGACATCGGGAGGATACATATAACTTTGTTTGATACTCGTATTCATTTCGTATTTTGGAGTCGTTTGGATGTGTGAAACTTGTCTTTATAGTGATTTAGAAGAAATAAGATACATATTAGTTAGAAATTATTAAGAGTGTAACTTTGGTCCTAATTACTGACTGGCACGGCCCGATCCAGCACGATCTCGAGGGTTGTGTTGTGTCAGTTAGTCTATAGGACCTAGTTTAGGGTCGGGTCATTTTTTGGCTTTGTAAATGTCGGGTAGGGTCGAGTTAACTTAGGGCAGGGTCATTTTTGGTCCTATGAACCATAACAACTAGTAATTTGAAATTTCTCATACCAAAAGGTTGGACATATTTAAAGTTCTAAGAGTAGATATTGTAATGCAATCTAAAAAATATGAAGGTAAAAAAAAGTTATGGATCTATTTGTAAAAAATTAAGTTTATGTACTAAATTTAAGAAAAAATGTAATTTTTAAAAATATCAGTTTGTTGATTTGGGCCAACCAACAGACTTGACCCAACCCGGCCCAAGTAGGTCGAATAAGGTTGATGAGAAAGAGGATCGGCCCGAACCAGATTTGTAGTTTTGTCCTATATGACCAGATATATTAGAATAGTTCTAGGTTCAAGCATGCTTTTGATTCAATTTCACCCCTATAAAACGAAAAATGCAAAACTGACAAACCACCCCCACCGTACTGTCACGGACTATACTCGATCCGTGCGGCATTAGCGCTCAAGTCTCATTAGAGGGTAAGTCGGCCTACATGACACTCGCACACGATCACAAGATTGGAGGAACTCTCTCTCTCTCTCTCTCTCTCTAGCTCTCTCTAAATATGTGTTGCTCTCAATATTTTTGGATGTCTACAAATGAGGGGGATGTGCTCCTAATATATGTCTCACCTAAAAAATGGACGGCTAGGATCTACCATCTAGAATTCTCTACATAAATATCTCATATCTAGAATTCTTTAGAGAAATATCTACATACACTACAAGTTTCTACCTTTATCCACTTGCTTCTGGGGTCTTCTAGAATGTTCCACCATCTTCAAGATACTTGAGGGTTGAGCCTCACTAGTCTTTTTACTTTGGGTGTGTCATTCTCCCCCACCTAATTCATGACATCCTCGTCGTGGTGCCTTCTTGCACTAGCATCATTGTTATCATGGTTGTGACAAGCTTGATGGCGAGCCAATAGTGGCCTTGGCTCTTGCACAAGTGCTACTACTCCAAGATGTAGCGCTTGCCTCGCCATCGCTCTCTTTTTCCGAGATAATGAGCGCTTCGTGCGTCGCATCCTGGTCTCGCCTTCGCTACCGTGGCTTGCTTTAACGTGCACGCCATTAAAGCATCGGGTGCCTCTCCCATTTGTGGCACCACAAGCCGCTTCTTTCTCTTCTTCTCGTGTGGAATGCCAAGCCTCAACATTGCATTCGAGGCGAGAAGATCATCGTGAACCTTGTCCCATACCAAGGCTTTCATCCTCCCTTCGTCGAGTCTTGCCCCTTCGAGGCATCAACCTGCATTTACATAAGGAGGGTGTTCCATCCCATTCGTAGTGTACTCTAACTCCTCTTGGTTTACCACATTACAAGGTTGGTTCTCCGCTCTTGGAACCTCCTCCTCTTAACTTGTCGAACAATTGGCTACGAGCGTGGAGGATAACTCCCTCCGCCTCGGACAATCTCTCACATGGTGTGGTCAATCACAAAGGGAAATAGCGAAAGAACAAACCATCTTCTCTTACTTCCAATGTTAGGCGTGCTCTCGTCCATATGGGCTTTTTGCTCGTAGCCCCCTTCGTTGTTGTTGTCGGATGCACCGAACTCTTCCGATGCAACATCATTGCCCTCGCTACCTTTGTTGAAAGCACCGAACTCTTTCGATGACACAGCGTTGCACTCGCTGTCTTGGTCGTATGCACCAAACTCTTCCAACCTAACAGCATCGCCTTCGGATGCCACTTGCTCTTCGGGCTACAAATCATCAACCTTGAACGCACCGAACTCTTTTGTAGGCCACGACATATCCGTTAGCCATGGCCCTCATTAAGAGATTGGCCTCTCCATTGAGCTCTACAACCTTTTCTCGCACACAAGGCAACTTGGGCTTCAATGTCTCCTCATTGACCCAACCAACCTTGTCGCGAGATCATGAGCTCCTTGAGACTTGTCCCTCTCGGGTCTCGGCCTTGGTCAATATGAGATGCTTCAATTGATTCCACATATGTTCGTCACCATGAACAGATCTAGAAGCCACGTCATCGTTGAAGCTCTACCTTCCTTGCAAGTACGAACCAGGCTCTTACATGGGGCTCGTTTGGTATATGTTTATCTAAATGATGAATTTAATAAATGCATGTATTGTATAGATTATAGAATGCACGTTTTTTGTGTCAAAATGAAAAACAATGCATGCATTTCATTGATGATGTGACACTTGAAATCGTTAAATATGAATGATTTACAATCTCAACAAGGTGAGATTGTTGAGACTGTGTTTTGAGATTGTTCTTCCATTTTCTTTCCCTTTATATCCCTATCAACTTTTATGCATTGTTATGTAAAAGAAAGGGTAAACATGATGTTTCACTTAAAAAGTAACTTTCTCATTTTATTCCTAAAATTACCATCACAACTACCAAACAATGTAATCTTATAATACATGCATTTAGACAATACATCAATTTTCAATGCAAGTATTCATACAATACATCTATTATAACAATCGCAAATACCAAACGACCTCCAAATGTCACAAACTAAACTCACTCTGTACTCGCACATGCTCATAAAATTGGAGGAACTCTCTAGAGATGTGTTGCTCTCAATATTTATGGATGTCTAGATATGAGGGAATGTGCTCCTTATATAGGTCTCACCTCCAAAATAGATGGCTGAGATTAATCTAATCTTATGGCTAGTATCTACCATCTTCAAGATGCCTGAAGATTGAGCGCCGCTGGTATTTGCACTTTGGGTGTGACAGTACCCATGGAGCAACTCATACGGAATGGACGAAGAGTCAATGCAGATAAATTCAAACAAATTAGATTGAAATTGTAATCCCACTCACTCACAACTTACAATTTAATGACCACAAGTCAAACCTATGCTCTAGTAATCAGATTAAGAAAATAATCTTTCCAGTTTTTCCTTCTCCATAATGGAGGGGTGCGCAGCGCTGCTACTGACTACTGAGAGACTAGCGGGAAAGAACCTTCTAAAGGGCAAAACGGGTTCCAGTGCCGTCCAGAAAACGATCAGTATGCCAGCCTTTCGCCTGCAATTCAGACACGAACTTCTCGAATACACTATCCACCTTCTCGTAGGCATCTAGCAATGCAGACGAACTGAATCCATCAGGTGAGCTCTCCAAGCTGGGAGCAGCAGCAGCAGCATATGCAGCAACCATCCAACCCCTCAGTGCATCTTCTCCTGTTGCATCGTGCTCCAGTACCATGTTGGTGCAGTTATTTCCCCGGCAGATCACAAATTTCTCACTCGGGAACATCTCTTTGTACTCACTAAGCTTAGAAGGCTTGATAACTCTGTGCAGAGCCTGTCCCACTTTTACACTTCCCGCATCTTTTATGAGTCTCCCAGGGAACATAAGGTCTTCATGGTATCTTATATCAGCAGGGCTCGATACTTTCCCTTCCTGGGCTCGAATAGGTGTCAAAAGAGTTAAGAGTAAGTGACAAAATCGTGGGAAAGCTGCAAAGTTCCCGTTAGAATTTCATGCTCAAACTAACCTTGATAAATTTAGCCACAACCAGTGCAGTCCTCTGAGGATTCAACGTATTTACTGGGGCAGCCTTCATTTCTTCAACTACGCTATATACATGAACGACAGACAGAAGGGGACCAACCACCAACTGCAAGAATATGGGCATAGTTGTAAGCTCGGAAATACTAGAAAACATAAATTGGGACTCAAATGTCAAAAACTTCTATAATTAATACCTTCCCCTGCATTGTGGAACAAACTGTAGATGCTAATTGGATCCCTACTCCCAATCCCAAAACATTGAAAAGTGTTGAGATGGCCTCTCCCTTAGCAAATAGGTCACTCAGATTGCCTTCTTTAGCAAATGATGAATATATTGGTAATCTTGTTGCCCTTGCTGCAACTACCGCCATTCCCTTTCAAATCCAAGGAAAAGTCAAGCTATAATCAACACGTGTGAAAGAGAAAAGGATTGCAGAAATATGGGTGAAGCAGATGAGCGTTCTTGATAGCAATGAACTAAATACAACCCAAAACAAGGATATGATAGCTTTGTCCAAATATGAAGTCAACAACCAGTATTTACCTTAGCAAAATTGCCAAGACCAGCGACCTCAAGAAAGAGACTGGGGCACAACGGAGAAAGAACTTCCAATCCGCTGCCCAAATCATATAGCAGATCCGCTGCAAGGAAAATATGAATAAATGAAGAAGGGGAAAGGGTGTTTGCAGCAAAAAGAAAATTCAAGGTCGAAGAGAACAGAAAACGAGTACCCAGTATTCTCCAACGTTTTGGCTCAGAGTCCATTCTAGCACCCAAATTGCTACATATCAGCTTTCCTACATGCTGCATCCCATCCTTTAATATCTACATGAATGAAATGAAGAGTACGCCATGATTAACAAACTCTATTGGGGACTAACAACTTGCGATTACTTGATTAAAGGGAACTTACCCAACTCACGGCAGTTGCCTGAGCTGGTGTAGGTCGCAACCCTGCAGCAAACAGTAGGGACTGCAAAGGAGTAAGAATGTGGAGTAAATACACCCAAAACTAGACCAAGTCATTTTGAGTGGAAGAAGAGTACAGTTAGCATCTGAAGTAGCTGAATTTCAACTAGTATACCATAGGTATACAGCATAAGATAAAAGAATAGCAAGAGATTCTGATAATCGAACATTGAATAGCATATGGCAAGGCAACAATAATGGCAGTTTTAGTGCAACACTGGAAAAGAAAGAAAAAAACTTTGGCAGCAGGAATTATGTGAAGGCACTTTGGACGTAACAAAATTAGACCTGAGTTGATAGAACAGATAATGCTGCACTGGAAACATGCTGGAGAGCCCGGAATTGTGTATATCTGAGATAACCCTCATTTACACTGAAACATTCAGAGAGTAGAAACCACATGAAAAAATGTACCAGTTCTCTGTTTTTCAAAGCAAAGCCTGTTCCATGAAAATCAATATTCACCTGTATGGATATCCTGAAGGAAAAAATTTGTTCACGAACGACTCAACCACCCTTTTGAATACAGGCCTTGCATCATCCACCACCTTCACCTATTGTCCCAGTCAACAATATTGCACAACAGAAAGAAAACATGAGAACCCAACCAATAAGTGAGTCTAACAGCCAGACTATTGTGAAGTTCACCGAATAACAGTTGATAGCTATGCATGAAAGTTGAAAACCTCCTAGTATACGAACATCAACATTTAGAATATCCACTTCATAAGATTTTATAGGTTAATCCCTGAAGGCAAGAGACAAAGAGTTGTTGCGAGATTTGAGCAGACTTCGCATCAACAAGTCCAAACAGGTATTTACGCCTAGTTCCATGGCTCGTTACTTGAAGCCAGGAATGAAACATACAAAGTCCATCGAAGGAGGCATCAAACATGCTTATCGCCATACTACAATGGAGATTGCCTGGACACGATCCCTAATTCTAAGCATATTTGCACAATCATCTTTGAAGCCATTATTTGATGCCAGGATCGAAATTCGAAACATACAAAGTCCATCAAAGGAGGCATCAAACTTGCTTATCACCAAACTACATCGGAGATGGCCTGGATACGACCACTAAATCTAAGCATATTTGCACAATCATCAGGCCCATAGTTCATTGGTGCTTAGCAAGACAATGTAAGTGCTCCCCATAATGAGTTTTTCCTTCACAGAATTCAATAGAAGGAAAAAAAGCTATATTGCAGTTATTCACGGAAGGCAACCATCCCTTATGGATAAGTATGCAGGTATTACAACTGTGCATGCCAAGTGTTTGCGAAATTGCGCCAGAGAACGTTGGTGTCGCAATTTAAAACGAACATCATAAGATGGGAAAAAGGCAACACTTACAGAGAGGTAACCGTCGGGTTCGAACTGGAAACGACGGGAGACAGAATCAGAGGCTTCAATCCAGCAAACTGCCATTTCTGGCGCTTTATCTGGCTCTTTCTTTTGCAACGCAATTTTGTCCTGTTGAAATTTTTGTTCAACGTGAGACACGACGCCCACCCAGAAGGACGGGGAACGAGATAAGATAGCAGATTAGAAAGCTGGCATAACTTGAGGAAGCGAAGAATCCCGCCATTACCAGCAAGTTCAAGTTTAAGTTCACGGTCATCGAGTTGGGTGACTAGATGATCGTAGAAGCGGAAGTTGGAAAGATGAGACCAGAGACAAACGCCCTATCTCTCGAACCTGACGACGGCGCGATTTGCAATCAGACGAGACCTAGCCGAGCTTATATGACCATGCCTGCCTATATCCTCCGCCTCCACCTCCACCTCCACCTCCTGCGACTTGGCCGAAGCTTTTGCCGAACTGGATTTCTAGCTGAAATGGCTAAATATTGTACTAAAATCAATACTTCAATTTTGATTCACTTACACGTTTCATTACTTGATTTATTAATATGTTTCATAATTTTTACTAATTTTTCAATAACATGAGTGATTACTGATTACCTTATAATAAGAACCAAATCGGATTGGCAATTGGATCAGTAGAGCTACTAAATCAGTTACGATAGTAGTTTTGTCCATTTGTTTCGACGGCTCATGATGGACCAAACGATTTTTATAGTTGGAGAAATAAGATGAACCACCCTCAATTTGATTGGTCCTGTGGTTCACTATTTTAACTACAAAAAATTAAGAGAATATATTGTTAAACTAAGACTATCAATGCTGAACTATCAATTTTATTTTTGTGTCTTCTTAGCTTTCCAGCCTCCTTGGCGACTTTACGTGACCCATTATCGACTGTTACCTAAATCACTAACTTGTTAGAACTTTTGGGGTTGATAAATTTAAAATCGTTTATGGTTAATGATAAATTCAGTGATAAATTAATGTATTATATATGTTTTTTAAGTTATAGCGCACCAACAAATTTTTTTCAACAACTAATTTTTTTCAGTTCTACATATGATCTGAAAACATTTATAACTTTAAATTTGCATTCACTACAAGTCATTCTCCATCCATATACGTTTAAAAATTTTGCATGACAGTCAATAATTCTAGTTTGATTGTCAAGTTAATGGAGTATCAATTTAACAAAAAAACATGCTAGCCATTTTAGGCTAAATGACCAGTTGTTTTGTGGGTATAATGTACCTAGGTCTATGTTTCCATTAAAAATGTGTTTGTGTAAGTGAAAAACTGAAAAGAATTAATTTTAGTTTTTATTATGTTTTGTTAACATGTCACCAATTTAAAGGTTAATGATTAAAGTTGACCTAAAAATCATCATGACGCAGTAGAGCTCAATGTTACCCGTTACAGGTTTGCCGTATAATTAAATTGTTAATACAAGCACACACTTCTATTATTAATTTGGCATCCTATTAGATCATCATTACATACTTTTCTAAGATCAAGATAATTGAGTAACTATGTAATAATACTGCTCATATTTTGTCATAAGATCTCATCTTATCATCGATAGTTCTGCTACTCGATTTGATTCCTTGCCATGGCATAACTTCATTTGAACTTAGCCTTTATTGGATGTCTATGTTCAAGCCTTTTTATAAGGCATTCTGAAGGGTCTAAAGATGAGATCGTGACTCATGATATTGAAAAAACATATAAAGCTTGGACATACATCAAGGTTGGGCACAGACATAAAAGAAGACGCTTGGTAAGGAGTAAAATACAAGTACGATCCAATTCCATCCCACAGATAAAACACAGCTTCATCAATCGGCAAGAGAAGGACAAATTGCTTACAGAACGAAAGATGTTCTTTTGCTTCTGCGTCAGGGAACACTCCTAAGGGCTCCTCTTTCACGGTCTTGCAAAGACGGAGTTCATGCTTTTGCTGGTGCAGATGACAAAAGCTGATTTCTTTACATCAAATCAGGATCATCATCATAGTCAAAGTCAGGGTCCGCTGCAGCTCTGATTCTCTTGGCATCTCTTGGTGTGCCTCTTCCCCTCTTTGGTTTTCCTCTGAAGATCACAGATGGACAAAAATTATATATATAGAAAGACCAAGTATTGTTCAGGCACTTCTTTCAGACGCTGCTTGAAATACCAGCAACTTCAAAAAGGGATGATGCAATACTTACTGCCCATTTGCATATATGCCTCCACCCCTAGACCGACCAGGTCCAAAGTCTGATTTGCCATCTATGATATACACCATTGAAGGTCAGAAATAAACAAAGAAAGAACGCAAGTAGAGTAGTCGATATCTCCAGTTAGAGTGTGGACTCACCATCTCGTCCAACCGCTTGCTCCTCAGCCTGGTCAGTGGACAGTGGAAGTAACAAGGAAATAGAAAAAGCATATAAATTGTCGGATTCTAGATGATAGCGGGAAGAAAGCATATATATGTTTTAAAAAGCTTTTCATCTTTATTTCATTTGCCATCCCAACTTCACGTCTCAGTTGAAGGTCAGTGAAGATACATAAAAATGTTACTGGTTTCGGGAAATTGAATAGTTTCATTGTTCACAGTTGAGTTGAAAGGTACATACTGCAGGTGAGGTAACTGAGGATAATGAGAATAGTCGATCTTCAGGCTGAAACTTCTTAGACCGCTTCAAGCTGCAATTATCAAGGAAAGTAAGATTGATCCTAAGAGCTCAATCACTTGTGCACAATATAGAAGCAGATATCATCCAGCAATTAGCATGATATTTCTTAATCGCATCTAAACAGGAATACCAAATCTTGAGACAATGTTCTCCATCTCGGACATAATTTACACATTAGCCTCATCAACAACCATAATAGGGACGATCAACTAAAAAGGTATGCTTCATGGTGGACTTAGAAGACAAAGATCTTGACCGAGAGCAACCTCTAAGAGAGAACGTGTTCCAAATGAAAAAGGAAACCCTCAACTTCTGCATATTCAAATACTGTTTCAATCTTCCCGCTGTATTTGTATCTTAATACTATGATTTAATCTGACATCATTCAGTTTGGTGATTCAATTGGACCATCACTAAATCAGTTCAGCTTCAGGTCACTACAGGCAGCCTGTAAAGGCTCGACCATAGCAATTAAGCCATAAGATTCCATCCACATCAACATTGAAGAGGGGGGAGTGTAAAATTGAGAAAGAAAAAGACAAAGTTATAGGCACAGAGAGCAGTTATGTAAACAGTCGCCCCATACAGTGCAGTGTTCTTAGATGAAGATAGGAATCCCTCGAAACCTTTCAATACATTGCCACACTGGCTCGGATCCTGTAAGTAGCTGGTCTCCATGTCATAAAGCTGTAAACCCATATAACCGATTTATCAGTCCCTTGCGGTCAAAAGGAAAGAACAACGTATACAAATAACCCGAGGAGATACATTAATGTTCTCTGTAATTTTTAACTAAAGCAACAATGGATGCTTCTATTGAACTCCACACTCCTCATCAAAACTTGAGATAGAATCCATGCGTATGAAAGCTAATCCTGATTACCCTTCGAAGTTTTTTTTTTGTTTGGTTTGATGAGACAACTTGTGAGTTGTGCGGGTGATGTGAGCTTAGTCGGCTAAAATACTCCCAGCAGAATGAAGAAAGTAGAAAAAGGCAGAAATAAAGAACCTGTCTTTCGATGCTGCGTAGCTCCTCGTGAAGCTTGGCTCTCTTGCTGACAAGGGAACTGAGCATCGCAGATGGATTCGCGGAGCTTCCTCGCTGCCCTACGCGAAGAACATTTGCAGGTTGGTTGGTTTTCTGGATGTGAAGATCGAACAGGCAGATATACGCACATCAAAACAGAGGCTAGGAAAATCGATCAGCAGAATTAACGATACCTTCGGGATCCATGTTTTCGCGCGAAATTTTTGAACAGATGAGGATCGAGGATTTGGAACCCTAGTGCCCAAATATAGGATTCAAAAATCAAATGATTACCACGATGTGAAGTTCCCTCGGGACTCAATTTCATCAACCTGGGTGGCAAAGGAATTGGGAGATTAACGTTAATCCGCCCGAATCCTAGGTCTTATGAGAGAGCATAGATCTTCTACAGCAGCGATCATCCTACTTCGGATGGTATCTATTAACTATTAACCAATTTTTTTTAAGTAAAATACACTTTCATAGCAATAACTATTCGCGTTGTAACAATAATAGTTAATTTTTGAAAATTACACTAAAATAGTCACTCCGCCCATAACTTTAACGCAAATGTTCAAGTGGCTTACTAGACTAACTTTTTTTCAATGACGTGGCTTTTTTTATAAAAAACAATACAAAGTGGACATGTCTATTTTCTTATTATAATTAGCCTATGTTTGGCCCGACTTTTAGAAATGCTTTTCGGCTTCAAAAGCTGAAGCAGTGTCAAACATCTCTAAAAGCTCGGCTTTTGAAAATTCGAAAAGCGCTTTTGTATAACATAAAAGCAGAAGCTCCAGCGAAAAGCTATTTTGAAAATACAATATTATCATTACCATATTTTAATTTTATTTCAGAAAATATAATTTTTTTTCATTTATATCATTTTAAAAATAAAATAAATTATAAAAATAAAATAAATTATAAAATCATATTATTTAATATAAAAGAAATCTAACAAGATCCATTTTTACTACTTTTTATTGTTTAGAATTTTTATTCTTATTTTATATTATAAGTCCTTTATAGTCATTTTACACAACCGCTCATATTAAAAAGCACTTCTAATAGTTTTACAGCCAAACACTAAACTGCTTTATTTGAAAAGAACTTATCTAAAAGCTCCAGCCAGAAGCTGCTTCTGCAAAAGCTACAACAGGGCCAAACTAAGGCCCTGTTTAGTATTGTTGCTTGTTTTTGTTTTCTGTTGTGCTTTTAAAAATTGTGGAAACCAAGAAAATAAAACGTGTTTAGTTGGGTTTCTTTTTTTCTGTTGCCCAACAGATTTGGGCAACAAGGCCCAAATCAACAAAACTTCAAATTGTGGCTTCGGATCCGTTTCACTCTAGCGTTGCACACGGGTTTTTGGTGGGATTTCATTAATTGCCAATTTTTTTATTTTTTAATTTCTTTATTCCTTAATCCTTTCTTCTTCCTTCTTTCTCTACCATCGCACAATGTTCTTTCTTCCTCTTCCTTTTTGCGAATCCCAACGGCGACCCTATCCCAGCGAAGACCTGGGCTTTTTTCCTCTTCCTTCTCGCAATCCCTGAGATTTTCTCTCAAATTCCAATCCCAGCGAAGACCCAGGCTTCTTCCCGGCGGGGCAGGGACATGGCGGGCGGTGACAGAAGCGACGACTTCTTCTTCGAGTTTGGCCGGCTTCTTCTCCATCCCTACAGGAGAGGCGGCAAGGAGTGATTCGCCTCCAGATCTTTCCCATCCACAGGAGAGGGGCCATGGAGTGAGTCGTCTTCGATTGGACTCGGAATTACCGCCGCTGAAGGAAGCTTTTCCTTGTTTTTCTTCTTCTACAATTCGTTGACGGTGGCGGAGAGGAGAGGAAGGGAGGCGAGGAGATAAATCGAAAGGAATGCCCCTCCTGATCCATTTTTTTTAGATGGACAGAGAATTGATCTAGATTCTAACCCGAGAGTTGCCAATTCTAGATATGAGGAACTAAATGCATTGTGTTTGTTGTTGATAATTCTAGAAGTTACAAACTAAACACGTTTGTTGTTTTATGTTTTTCTTCTGTTGTTGTTGTGTTTCTATTGTCACAATTTCAACACAATCACAACAGCAACAAAATGATACTAAACAGGGCCAAAGCTTTAGATGGAAAAACAACAGAAATAGAAGGAGAGAAAATGGAAGCAACTAGCTGCCTCCACTCACTGCCGTCCTCACCAAGCTCCCTCCGGCGGCTACATGCAACAAGAAGACAAACAGTAAGAGCAACAAAATCGATGAATCAGCGTCCCCTTCCACCGTCGTCACCAAGCTTCCTACGAGAGACATTTCCCCTTTGGAATCAGACCGTTGCTCATCAATTTCTAACTCGATATAAAAAATCCCTAATTTCTCAGAGAAATTGTTCTCTTAAATCAATTGAAACAAAACCCTTCATCAAAAGTTTAGCGATCTGGAGAAAGGAAAAGAGAAGGCTTTTCGTGGATGGAGATGAGTTTATTGCCCATAGGAGATCGCAGAGGCCATGTCCTTGAGAAGGCGGTCATTAGTCTCCTCCTACGATTATTCAAGTTAGGGGGCTAATGAGGAGTCGATGCATTCCAGATTCTCCCTTCATTTCCTCTCTCTCAACAGCCAGAGCTCCAAATTGATCCGTCGATGCCTACCAGCTGCAAATCGATCCCCTACATTGCATCATCCCATCTCCCATAACCAAAGGAGGGATCATCTTCGACACCCAAATCGGCCTCAATTTCACCACACACACCTTGTCCGCTGCATCTGACTTCTCCTAGCAGACCTTCAAACAGAACACCTCCTCCAACCGCCAATCGCTGCCAAAGATCAGCCAATTCGTCGTCTCCGACATCCAGGGAACACCTACCACGACTATCAGACCACCCAAATCTACCTAGACGTCGACTACCACACCAACTTCACTCCACCGACTTGTCGGCCGATGACCTGCGCAGGGAGTTCGCCGGATTGGTATATGGCCAGGTAGCGTTGGTGTGGGGGTGGAACGAGACGGCCCCCGCTTGGCTTTAGCCCGGGTAAGAGAGGGTTTGAAGAGAGGATTCATGGATTTGGATCTGGTGAGAAGGCGGAAGACGTTTCCACTTAAGCTCCTATCAAATTTTGGCGGACTAAGGCAGATTTGGAATGGAAAAAAAGTTGCAAAAGAGAGAATTAAACTAAATTAAATTTATTTTTTCTAAAATTTTTTATTTTGATTTTTTTAGTAATTTTGTTAAGAATTACTTTTAATATGATGCGGCATCTAAGTGGCATGAAGACGTCTAGTTGGTGATGATGTGTCGTCCAGGTGGCATCCACCTCAGCGACACGTAGAGATTACTAACGGAGTTCAAGCAAGTTTAAAAAAGTGGTTATATCTGTATATTTTTTAAAATGTGGCTATTATTGTCACAACGCGAATCATTATGGTTATGAAAGTGTACCTTGCCATTTTTTTCCCTTTATACTTTGGCCCCTTAGTTATTAGTAGAGGGTGTGCCACTATATAGACCGGGCGAATTTATGAGAACTGCGATCTAATAGTAAAAGTCGTTTTTGCATCAAAGATTAAAAGCAAAGCTCCCTTGTATCTATGGAGGTTCCCGTACTCTTGAAAGTTGCATATAAACTCCTTGGGAGTTGTTTGGATGAGGGATTTGGATGCATGATTTTGTTCAATTTCCTCGTTTTGCTGAATTTCGCTCAAATTCCTTGTTTGGCAAAAGCTTCAAAAATAAGCTATTTCACCAATGTCGTATTTTAAAAACCTATAGATGCGGGATTTTGAAATAGCTGCCTCCCCTTGGCTATTTTGAAATCCCTTATTTTCTTCTTTTTTCTTCCCACTTTGCGCCTTTAAATTTTATTGAAAACAAAAATTACCCTCAAATACAAGTTGAATCATTTGTCACTCTTTAGATATCCCTCAGCTCTAGCACGGGGTGTAAATCTATAGTTAACTGGAGAAAGTGGCATATTATTCCTCTATTGATACGGCTTTTATGCACAAGTATAGCGAAAACATAAGAGGAAGTGACATATTTTAGTTTTAGGCAAAATACATTTGTATAGCCAAAACTTTCGCGTTTGTGACAATAAGAGCCCCTTTTGGAGACTACCACTTATAGCGACATTTGTCGTTGTGTTTTGACAAATCTAGCATTCCCGTTAGACACTTTAACGGTGTTATTAACACTGTTAAATTCTTTGACATTTTGCTAACTAGGCTCCCACTCAGCGCACAAATCATCGACAAATAAACTGCAAGTGACATATTATAATTTAAAATTATTTAATAATTACACATCATAACCTAATTAATAAAATTGGCTACTGCTTAAGAGTTGAGTGGGGAATCGATAGAGCAGAAATAAGAGAGGAGATGGAAGGAATTAGCCGCCATGAAAAAGCCCACTCCTCTCACCGTCGTCACCAAGCTTCCTTTGACAACGTCAACAAGAAGAAGAACAGTAACGACAACAAAAACAAATAATCAACACCGACCACCACCACCTACATGAACCCCACCCATCCGCCTTTAGCGGCAGAGTAGCAGCAATCTCAGTCCAATTAATCGCTCCATTAGTTCTTTTTGCAGCTCCACAAAAAACCCCTCCAATTAGTCGCTCAACCAACTTCCCTCATCTCTCTTTTTTTCTGGTTATTACTCGAGTTCGACCTTCCAACCCATGTAGATTGAATGTAGTTCAGAAAGAATTGGGGGTTTGAGGTGGGGTCGGGAATGCCAAATGTCAGAGAAGAGGAGAGAGAAGGACGACTGGTTGTTGTTTATCACCCTTGGGAGGTAGAATTAATCTTGACAAGCTGTTTGGTATATGGGAAAAGAATAGAAAAAGAGGAAAAAATATAGAAAGTTGGGAGAAGGAAACAGAGGAGAGAGAGGGGGGAGGTAAAGCTGTATTAATTGGTAAAAAGTAGTTACAACGGTTTTTGGTGGCCTTTTTTATACAGAATGTCTTTTTAACCAAACGACCCCCAGTCATCTTCCTATCTCATCACTCAACTTCTATCTATTTACAATTAAGTCCGTTGGTTACAACCCCCAACTCCTTTAGCACCATCTTGTCCTCAAGCTCGACATGCTGGAAATTGCTGCTGGAACTCAGTTAAAAAGTCCCAACTAGCATCCTCCTCTCCTTGATGAGACCGCTGGACAAGGACCTGAGTTGCTGGTTTATTATCCTTCGCCACAATCTTTCTTGCCAAAATATCTACCGGGGCCCACTTCAATCTACCTTGATCATCAACCTCAGGTAGAATAGGCTATTTTGGAAAACTGGGATTCGCTCTGGCCTTTTTGAGCAATGAAATGTGAAACACAGGATGAATGGCAAAATCCGCTGGCAGCTGCAATTTGTATGCCACAGCTCCAATCTTCATCACAATAGGAAAGGGACCAAAGAACTTAGAAGCCAACTTCTGATTTGCTCAACTAGCAACTATAGTCTGACGATATGGTCTGAGCTTGAGGTAGACCAGATCATGTTGTCTTGTGAGCATCTTCCATCTGCTTTTGCTTGTTCTGGGCTCGATCCAAGTTAGTTCTTAACATGTCAATTAGCCTATGCTATTGTTGAAGTCTGTCAGCCACTGCAGCTACAGAAGTGGACAAGGGATTCTGAATAGAGAACGGAGACGGTGAATACCCATATAGTGCCTCCATTCCGCAAGAGTCACCCAAGAAGCCCGTTGATGTGGACACAAATGAACCATCCCCCTAAGATATTATTCCAAATAATGATTTAGCATTTCTGTTTTCCCACCCGTTTGTGGGTGATAGGCAGTAGAATAGTGTAACTTCACCTCTTGTAACTCAAAGAGTTTAGACCAAAATGAACTGATGAATATTGCATCCCTGTCTGATACAATAGTAGTAGGCATCCCATGTAATCTGAACACTCCATCAAAGAAAGTTTGAGCTACTGTTATTGCTGTATAGGGTTTTGTTAAGCCAAAGAAATGGCCATACTTGGAAAAACGATCCACTACTACCAACACTTCATCCTTACCATGAGAACTTGGCAAACCTTCAATAAAATCCATGGATATATGCTTCCAAGCCTGGTCAGGTATAGGCAAGGGTTGTAGCAGACCAGGATAGGGTATATTTTCCACTTTGCATTTCTGACACACCTCATAGTGTTTTATATAAACCTTCAAATCATCCTTAATTCCAGGCCACTCGAAATACTTATTAATCCTTTAATAACTCGCCTGCAAGCCAGAGTGTCCTCCAATTGCGGAATCATGGAACAGATGTAGTAGCTGCTTCCTCATAGTACCAGTAAGCCCCACATAGATATCAGACTTGTGGTAAAGTAAACCCTGATGAATCTAGTAAAGCTCGGGACCAATAAACGGAACTGAAGCCTCCACAAAAAGCAATTGTACATAATGATCTCCTGCATACATGGACTCCAACTCAGATAGCCAAGCTGGTAATACAACGGTAATGGGACATCCACCTCCTTGATTAGCAACAGAATCAGCAAAGTTAGGATGTCTCGAGAGAGCATCAGCAACTTGATTAAACTTGCCCTGGCGATATTGTATTTCAAAGTCCAAACCCAATAGGTTAACCAAGACCTTCTTTTGAATCCGATTGTGCATTTTCTGTCCTAATAGGTGCTTAAGACTCTCATGGTCTGTAACAATCTTGAATTGCCTGCCTTCCAAGTGATAGCGCCATTTAGTAACAACCAAAATGACTGCTAGGTATTCCTTTTCATAGGTAGAGAGCCTTGTTTTCCGGGTCCCAAAGCTTGACTGTGATAAGCAATGGTCTCACTTCTTGTGACAAAACAACTCTTATCCCCAACTTACTGGCATCAAACTCTAGGATAAATGGCTTGGTAAAATCTGGTAAAATATAGGAGTTGTAACCATAGCTGTTTTGAGTGCTGAAAAGCCTCCTTAGCTGTCTCTGAACACTTAAACTTGTCCTTTCACAACAAATAAGTTAAGGGCTTACCAATAACTCCATAATTCCTGACAAGTTTTTTGTAATACCCAGTCAATCCAAGAAAACCACGCAACTCCTTCAAATTTTTTGGTACATGCCAGTTCACCATAGCCTCTTTCTTAGCCGGGTCAGTAGTCACCCCATCCTGGTTGATAATGTAGTCCAAATAGTAAATTTGAGTTTGGCTAAAAGCACATTTTGATGGTTTTGCATAGAGTGAATTGTCCCTCGGAATGGCTAAGGCAGCTGCCAAATGCTACTTGTGACTGTCTTGATCAGGGATGTAGATCAATATATCGTCAAAGAATACAAGTATAAACTTCCTGAGATGAGAGCTGAAGATCTGGTTCATGAAAGCTTGAATGGTAGTAGGGGTATTAGTTAGCCCAAATGGCATTATAGCAAACTCATAATGTCCATTATGTGTCCGGAATGTTGTCTTGTGTTGATTCAAAGGATTCATCTTGATCTAATGGTGACCTCACAGCAGGTCAAGCTTAGTAAAGAACTTGGACCCTCTGAGTTCATCCAAGAGATCATCAATAACAAGAATAGGAAATTTATCATTGATAGTAAGATCATTTAGTTTCCTGTAGTCCACACAAAACCTTCAAGATCCATCTTTTTTTTAGCACAAGTAATACTAGGGAGGCAAAGGGACTTCTACTAGGCTGTATGTATTGAGATTCTAGCATGTCCTTCACTAGCCTATCCCTTTCATTCTTCTTAGGAACGGAATCCCTATAAGGTCTGAGATTGACCGGTTGAGATTTGGCTGCAGTGGAATAGTATGATCACATCCTCTTGCTGGTGGTAAGGATTTAGGCTTCCCAAATACATCAGTGAACTCCTCTAGTATCGAAGCCAAGAATTCAGGTGTCTTACTCTCCTAACTAGTCTCCCCCTTTA